TAATATATGTTATTGCTCAATAGATTCATTAAAATCTACATATACATCAAAAATATTATGTATTACAATTTTAAATGAGAATTTATTGAAAATTTAATCTAATGAATCATAATTAAATAATAAATTAATTGATATGAATATATATGTATTACATTCATATTTATTTGATATAAAAATTTAAAACGTTTTAACATAGTAACAAAATAAATTGTACTTAATAATATATTAACACAAAATTACCATCATTCAGTCAATACATTTAGTGTAAGCAACTTCATAGTATAGATGGAGTTATGCATTATGACGATAAGTTGTTATGCATCATCTAGACGTTAGATTTTTTAACAATGCAGCCAACTTTTGAGATTTAAAATCTGTACGTAGTTGAATGAAATTGCTCAATATTGAGTGATCTAAACCCACCTATATCAATAAAAATGTATTCAACTGGTTAATTAGATATACACACATATCTAAAAATAATATATTACCAATGTTTCGCCATAACACACTTGTTTTAAGTTCTCATGTTTTACAAGTAACAAGTTACATAGAGCATGTAAAGTATCAAATAAATCGATAACTAATGGTGATCCTAAATCTTTAACGCATCTTCTATATTCATTCATATCACATATCGCACACATGGCACCTAAAAATTTTGTTTTTATTTTTTAATAAACAAATAAGAGTATGGATGATTTAAAAATGAATTGTTACCAGCAGAGTTATAAGTAAATTGCAACAAATGTTCATAAATAATACGATGGAATCTGATTCCAAGTTCTGCTAAAACAAGATCAGCATTTTTGGAATCCAAACATCGACGTATGTGTTTTATATTACTACTCAAATATTGAACAACAGATTTACAAGCCTAAATAGCATAAAATAAATAATAAACATTGAACAAAATTTGTTAATTAATGTACTTACAACTGATGTCATTGTGTCTACATCTGTCTCTGGTTTAAAATCTGACTTTTTTTGCTCGGAAGAAAGACAAATTTTTATCCAACCAGTGATAGCATTTAAAGATCTAAAACAAGTTGATTATTTAAGAAAAAATATAAATTTATATGTATTAATATTTTTATACTAACCTATCTAAGCCAAAATCAATTTTTGATTCTATTTGTTCCAGTTTCTTTTTCTTAAAGCTAATACATTGCGAATACTTAGGCGTTGTACTAAAAAGTAAAACAAAATACATTAATTAAAGTTTACATTCAATTCTTAGAACAGTTAGAAAAAAAAATATAATACATACATAATTAAAGGGACTAAAGTATCTGAAAGCTGGTTTTCAAATAGCAAAATGATTGCATTGACTTGTTTTATGACTTCGAAGAAGTAAACATTTGGTGGATCATGAGTTTTGGCTTCTGGGATGGGTACAGACTGTACAGCTAATTCTAAGCCGTAATCAACATAATCTTCAATCAAGTAAGATGTTAAGATTTCAAAAATGTGATAACTATTTGATGGAATATCAGATGATGAAGATAACTGAAAAATGTATAATACTAACAATTATATTATTATCATTATTATTACTTTTTAATTTCTATGAGTTATTATAAATAGAGAATTAAAGAAAAGTAAATTTAATTAATTATTAAAATGATAAATACCGTACAACACCTATCCAATGCTTGATTAAATTCTTGAATAAGAGAGGTAGCTACATGTTCTGATAAAAATGTTTCACCACCATAATCTTCAATATGCATTATATTAAAATTGGTACGTGTGCTAATAACTGTTTGTAAATCTCTACGCAGTTCTTGAAACCTGAAATAATAATAAAACTGTAATAAATATGTATTTCAACTTGTTAACACTACAGACCCCCTCGATTTTATAAAGAGGCCTTTTTCATTCTTCTTAAAAAAAACATGAATAACCTTTTTCACAGACTTTAGAGTAGATTTAAACAATAGATTCTACATTAACTGGCAGCAGTTACAATAATAAACAAGTCATTTTTTTTTATTGGGCTCAATAAAATTTGTTATTATTATCTACTGTGTATAATATTTGACTGTAAACTTTGATGAAAATACATAATTTGTGTACAGAAATTCTAATAAATAATATTTTTGTGCTACATTTTGAGTAAGAAAGAATGATAAGAAATTAATAAGAACATTTTTAGTCATGGCATTTTACTTATAACTGACTCATGGACTAACGTTTGAGAAACACTAATATATATTTTAATTTATAGTTTAATAATAATGAGTAATATAAATTATTAATAAAAGAGAATAAGCCCAAATCAAAAGAGCAAAATAATATTCACATCTCATAAATATAAAATAAATTCTAATTACCCGCCAGCTTGAATTTGTTTTTTCTGGTGTCCTTTGGATTCATAAAATCTTTGTAAAATGATTAAACATTTTTCTTTAAGATTTTTCAGTTCAGAACTGCAAATGATCAAAAAGTTTTAATATAATATTATACTGATAAGATTAAACTGATAAAAAAACATACACGAAGTATGAATCCAGGTACTTTTGAAATATATTCTTTTGCATTTTGTTTAGAAACATATCATCATTTCCAATATTTAAGCGTGAAAGATTTTTAGATAATATTGATGTTCTGGAAAAAAAAAAGAAATATATGTTGGGCATAAATAGGTAAAATAATAATTAAATATTAAAATGGAAACATACTGTTTGTAAAGTTGAGATAGCTTTTCTAAGTAATTTGTTGTATCTTTAACTTCAGATAATATTGTAATAATATGGTTCTAAAATTTATACATAAACATTAAAAAAAAAAAGTTAAAGACACTGATGACCTATGAAATATAATAATACAAACATACTTGTAGTTTCAGTTGATAAATGTTTAAAATAAATTTAGCCATAACTTGATCAGGATTAGTAAATACAGCTTCAATGATTTTCAAGTTATTTTCACAGACAGGAATAATATCAGCAAACAGATTTTTTCCAGAAAGTGAGTTCTAAAGAAATACTTATTACAAAATGTTATTTATTTATGACTAAATAGTAGTTAATGTTACCGCTTGACTATATTCAATAAATGCATCCACACATTGAGAATAACCTTTGAAATGAGTTAAAATTGTTGCAATTTCATTCATTCGCGCCAAATTTTTTCGAGAGTGGTTTTTTATAAATTCTTCAATTAACAAACATTCAATTTCATCATATTTTTTAATTATTTTCATTTTGGCTTCCTCAAATCTAAAATGTTAAGTATTCAAACTCAAAAGTTAATTAATCTAGTAATTTTGTCAAAAACTTACTTGCCTGGAGGAAGCTCTTGAGCTATAGGAAATAATTTTTGTATCACATCAGCTGCATCATCAATCTAAATTTACAATCATATAAATAATTCTTACCATAATAAAAAAAAGGAAAAACAATTAACATTTAACAGGAATATTTTTACCTTTGTTGGATCATTAAAAATATCTATGGAAAGTGGACCAGCAGACATAAACTCCTCTAAGTATCCAATAAGTTTATGAACTTGTACAGCTCTTGAACGTGGTGTATTAATTGATTCTAGTTGATCTCCAACGTGAATGACTTTTGTGGCTACATAATTTATTCGTTCATCTAAGTTTTGAAATATCGATATTCCAGTCTATACAAAAATATTGATATAATAAGTAATATGCTCAACATATAATTTAAATGAAACACTTTTATTGTATCAAACTAAAACAAATCAGAACTACTTGTAATCTTTGTTTATAGATATTTCTGTTAAAAATATTTACTACCTATTTAACTATATATATCTCAATATTTTTTTTTATAATCTTCACCCTATTAATTAATTACTGTTCTCTTGCTTAATATTTGTTAATCTTTAATATTTTTACCTTATTTATTTTACTCGACTTTTAAAATATTTAAGTAAATTATATTTGAACATAAATATTAGCTATAACAATACTACAATTTTTTACTTTTTGTTAACAAAAAAATCAAAAGGATTAAATTTACCTTATTTTGCTCTTGAAGACTTTGAATTTGTACTGAATATAGAGATTCTTTTTCTCGACAAACTTGTTCTAATTTTTCACATTTTCTTTTTTGACGTTCTTGTAAAAACTTTAAGTCTCTAAAATCAGTGGAAAAAATTAATAGTAAGAAATATTGTTGTTTTATAATTATTTATCATTATATTCTAATAAAATACTTGATTGCTTGGACAAATGTATCTTGAACATCATCCACTACCGTATTATCACTGTCAGCACTGTTTCCAAATACACGATAAGCTAAACGTTCTACAAATTCATCAGGATCGTATGGATCCTATAATTTATAAGTAACAACAATATAGATATTTTTTTTGGTTTTTAACAAAATCATAATCGAGATATCTAAAATATTACCTGTTCCATTTCTTTTATGTATTGTTGCATCATTTTGTTGGTGTTTTCTTGTAAAGTGTATAGTAAATGAACAGAAAATAAAAATAATCGGTTAACGCGAAATGTGTGGCAGCATATTACACGTACATTTTAACGTATAATAACGTAGCGATAACTGTTTGGCCAAATAATATCGAATTAAAACAAAATTTTGATCGGTAGACTTTAAGTCCCTAACGATACGCGAATTTTACAAATCGTTGTTATCAGCTTATCATTATGAAAAGAGGAGGGCGTTATCCAGATGATTTGGCCGAATGGTTGATGATAGTGAAAAATGTCCAAATGAATAACGTGAAATATTTCATTGATGATAATCTTCAATAAGACAATAATTTACCTTATTGGTTTATTTAAATAAAATAAATTCAATTATTTTTTTTTTTAAATAAAAAATTAAAATTTCAAATTTTGTGTCGTATTTATTATCGTACACCGATCAACGAACCGACAAGTTCCAACGAGAGACATATGTAAACTCACCGATTTTCGACGTTTTCGACGTTTTGGTGCGAATGTATCGTCCCCATCACAGTCGGTCAAATCTGTCGTTTCGCGCCCATTTGCCTTGTCCCCGTTTCCGACCGTTGATAATAACAAGCAATTTAAACAACACAGTATTATTCATTCTTGTGTCTGTGGTTCAGCGGTTCTTTAACTATACCATGCGCGTCATTATAACTCAACATTAATTAACTATTTTAAAATATTACTGTTTTTTCTGCATTTGATTTCTTGTACGTATAGTTTATCGTGATCATCGCTCTCTGAAAAGACGATTTTCCAGAGATCAAATTTTAATTTTAATCTGATCAATTCCCGGTAAGTGTGAGTTTTCTTTTTTAATAACTTTTCACTGTAGTTTTAGATCATCGCTAACACACGTTGTAGTGCTTGGATGTTTGGGATTTGCCGATCTATTACACTACTGCATTAATAAAATTCCAATATCTGATTTACACCAATTGAAATAGGTGTTTGTTTTTTTTTCACATGTTGCTTCATTAACTCAACTACTAAATGGGACTTTGAACTATACATGTAAAATATAAAAGAATATTTTTTATTTTTTACAATCATTGTTTTAATTTTGATCAATTAGGTATAAACAATTTGGTTTTGGTGTTTGAAAGTTAGTTGTACTGAATAGTGGATAATATTACGATTTTCCATTTCTTATTAGTTATTATACCAGTGACCCTTGTTTCATAAAATCTATAGGGGTGGATATAGCTAACTTGAAGTTGAAATAAAATATTTAATAATTCAATTATTCAGTCTTAAATTAAACCGGTAAGCTGTTGATAAGATCTCAGTTGGCCACTTCAAACCTGGGCCTTGAAAAAGAATATAAAATATTATGAATATTAAATAATAATGTTTTAAAGTTTTATACATTATATATCTATGTTTTACACAGTAAGAAAACTTTACAAATAAAATTGAAATTACAATATGAACCCTATGATTTTATCTTTAAATTTCCATAAATAATTAAAATAAATGGACAGCCGCAAATATATAATTAAAACAATATCTACCTACTTGGTTTAAATTTTTAGAAAATGTTGATAAAAATTAAATAATTAAAACATCATCAAAAACCAGTAAACTGCCTATAGGTATATGCACTAAAAAAAAGAAGTTGTTCAGCTGTGTAGTAGGTCCTATATGTATAATAGTCATCTGACACTAAGGTCATTGTAATGAATGTCTTAAATTTTGAATTCTAAGACAAATCTCTTACTATATGATATAAAAAAATACTGATTGAACATTTTAATTCTACCTATATTTTTAAAGATATTTGATAATAGTAATAAAATAGATAAATTAATTTTTGTAAAAAAACTACACAAAGTTTATTGTGAAATAATAATTATATATATTTATATATTGCTTATTCTAGGCTTATTAAGCATAAGTTATTATGCCTTACTTCGCATCTCTATTTAATGATAACCATTCTTCATTCCTAATTCCTTGGATTTCAAGTCTTCTCTGATTTAGTTGCCACCACTTTTGATTACCATTTTGGTCTTGTTCGATTTTGCTTTCAAATTGTGACATTTTATTATCATATTCTCCATTCTCTAAAGTTGTCATGTCTAGCTGAGTTTTCATCTTTATAGAACACTTAGTAGGTTTAATAAAAAGTTCCCTTAGTTCTATGTTTGTCTTTTATTTATAATTTTTTTAGAGCCAGATATCCATAATATTTTCCTTTCTAATATTAATACTTTTTGTTTGTTATTAGTTTTATTAACTAAAATTATTATTGCATTCTTGAATATTTTATGTCGTCAATTTGTACTTTAGTTATGCTTATAAAACTTAAGTGACTTTATAATAAACTTTTTATTTTTTTATTCCCAGTAATAAAGTTTAACAAGAAATATTGCATTAAATTTTCAAATCATTAGTGTTAAAATTAAAATAATTCACCTAATTTGTAATTTTAATGATTTTTTTAAAAATTTAAATTAAAACATTTATAAACAAAATTTTTATTTGTTGGTACTTTTAATATTTTTAATTAAGTAAGAACAACTTTTGAAAAATAAGCTTGTACCTAATACATTTTTAATTTTTTTTACTCAAAAATTTCAAATGTTATTATATGTATACAAAAATGAATTATAAAAAAAAAAAATAAAAAATAAAAAATCTCCTATTGATAAAACAAAAAGGGGTAAAATATTTTAAAAGTTGTATGAAGTCTATTAAATGCTAACATAAATATTTGATAAAAATATAAATATATAAATTGCAAAATAAAAATAAATAACAAAATCAATTTTATCATAAGCTGGTTAAGTAGTAAATTTCAATTTATTTTAATTATTAATTATTTTGAAAATTATTGAAAATCATGACCTCTCATAGTTCAACTTGAATTAATTTTTAATAAAATAAACTACCCTTTTAAGTTGAAAATCAAAGCATTATTACATCTTTAAAATGTGTCTATACAAAAAAAAATTATATAAAAGAAATTGCTTTTCTCAAAATTTAAAAATAAGTTAAGACATTTTTACAGAAGTTGGACCTTGTTATGTATTAAGAGCTAATACAAATCTCGGCATGATAAAATTCCTCAATCTGGCCCTGATTATTAATGGTGTCTACTAATGCAATATTTTACTATCATATGGCCTACTAAAAATACAAAAAATAGGCATCACTGTATCAGCTAAATAATATAGTTTGTTTTATTTAGTTTCTTACAAATTAAATGATATGATGTCTAATTAGGAAGATTCTCTATAATATATATATGTGCATAAGATAGTTGAAGTAAATTAATTTATTTTACTTAAACTGTAAATGTATTTATTTATTTCCAGTTGATATAAAATTATTTAGTAAAAAATGGCTATGGCATCATCTTCACATGTTGAAGAAGCCGTTGTTGATGATCATGAAGAAGATGATGGACCATTACTTATTTCAAAACTTGAGGTAAAATTTATTGTAATATTATATTAAACTAATAATGTTTAAAATGTTGAATAGATACATAAATAAATATGTAATCTAACTGAAATAACAAACAATTAAATATGATACAGGGTCAAGGAATTACAAGTGGAGATATTAAAAAGCTTCAAGAAGCTGGATACCATACAATAGAATCTGTTGCTTTTGCAACAAAAAAGCACCTTATTACTATTAAAGGCATAAGTGAAGCAAAAGCTGATAAAATATTGGTAATTTAAAATAAATAATTTAACATTTTTAAATTTTTTTTTTTTTTGATATTTATTACAGCTACTTAAAAGATGATGATATATTTTTTTACATTTTCATAATTGCTTTTTATAAAAGGCTGAAGCATCAAAAATGGTTCCACTTGGTTTTACTTCTGCAACAATATTTCATCTTAAGAGATCTGAAATAATTCAATTGACTACTGGTTCAAAGGAATTAGATCGTCTATTAGGCGGTGGCATAGAAACTGGTTCAATCACAGAAATATTTGGAGAATTTAGAACTGGCAAAACACAATTATGCCATACTTTAGCTGTAACTTGTCAGGTGAAAATAATTAGCTTGTTAAAAACTAACCATAAATAAATACTAAATATTGAAAAACAAATTTATTTTGTTATCTTTAAGCTTAGATAGAATATAGTATTGTATTCATCTTTTAAAATTAGTTTAAAGTTAAAAGTTATATATAATATTAGTTTTGTGTTTCTTAGCTGCCTATTGGTCAAAATGGTGGAGAAGGAAAATGCCTCTATATTGACACCGAAGGTACATTCCGACCAGAAAGATTACTCTCAGTAGCCGAAAGATATCAGTTGGTAGGTAGTGATGTACTTGATAATATTGCTTGTGCCAGAGCATATAATACAGATCATCAAACACAATTATTACTGCAAGCTGGAGCTATGATGGCTGAGTCTAGGTAAAATATTTTATATGAAATCAATAATCTATCTATAACCTAAGCTTTTATTGGTTACAATATGAGTACGTTGGTAAGTATTTTCTGTTACAAATATTTTGTTTAAAAATAACATTTTTTTATTTCAACGAATGTTAACTTATGGGCATAAAGTATTTGAATAATATCAAAAATTATACTTCAGTGAGCTTACTTGGAAAATCAGGGACAAAAAAATTTTTTAAATTTTAAATGCTGATTACCATCTTAAGTGTAATATTGTGTTTAAATCCTATCTCTCTTTTTTAAAATGAAATTGTAAATTAACATCTAGATACTTTGGTGGTGAATTGTTTTGAAATAAAATTGTTTTGTTATAGTTTAAAAATATTTTAATTTATTTATTTCTATAAGTACAAAATTGTTAATAGTTGTTAATAATTTTTAGGTATGCATTATTGGTTGTTGATAGTGCCATGGCTTTATATAGAACTGATTATTCTGGAAGAGGTGAATTATCAGCTAGACAGAATCATTTGGCTAGATTTCTCAGAATGTTACTGCGTCTAGCTGATGAGGTAAAATTATATTTTTTATTTACAATGTTTACTTCTTGGCAGTGCTGCAATATTTGTCCAGACCACAAAAGTGGTCTTCCAACATTAAAACCCTTATAACCTTTGTATAAAATTGAAGAATGTTTAATTTATGATAAATACAGGTTTAGTAATAATTTTGCATAAGAGTAATTTGTTATTGTTAATTTTGTTCAATTTTTATATTGATATAGGGGTGGAGTTAGAAGACTAAGTATTATGTTGTATACAAAAAAAAACTTGAGACTTGAAGTATCTGTCATTGTTTATATTTTAATATAACTTAAAAGTTTGATTTGAATCCATGATGTGCAGTTTAAAATTTGGTTTTCTTAATCTGTAAAATTTTTCATGATCATTATAGTGTTTTAATTGAGAAATTATTTGATTTTGTATTAATTTAATAAATCATTCATGTTTTATATTAAAGGAAATAATTAAAAACAAAAACTTAAATAGCATTCATAAAACAGCTTATTATGCATGTTTATTAATTACACTTGTATTTTTTATAAAAATATTAGAATACTATTTCATCAAGTTACTTAAAAATTCTAACAAGTTGTGTAATTTTCAATAACTTCAGTGAACATATTTTTTTTAGTATTATTTCTTTAAGAAACTATAGTACCTAGTGGTTACTTAATAATTAATATAGTACATCATGGATGATATTTAGAAATAAATATTTAACAGTTATTATTCGAGATTTTTCTTTTGTGAAAAGTTAGGAAAATAAAATTACAACTTAAAAAATGATTGTTTCAAATTAGATTGTGATAGTAGATGGCCTTAAAATTACCTTTAACATTAGAGAAAAAAATTCTAGTTGTAGCACTGCTTTATGGGTTGGGTATACTTAATAACATCAATATTAAACAATATTTTTTTCAGTTTGGTGTTGCTGTAGTAATAACCAATCAAGTAGTTGCTCAAGTGGATGGCGCTTCTATGTTTGCAGCAGATCCAAAAAAACCTGTTGGCGGAAATATAATGGCTCACGCATCCACAACTAGATTGTATCTGCGTAAAGGCAGAGGTGAAACAAGAATATGCAAGATATACGATTCTCCTTGTTTACCAGAGTCCGAAGCAATGTTTGCTATAAATGCTGATGGAATTGGAGATGCTAAAGAGTAGCTTGATTATAATTTGTATTTTATTTTTTGTTGTCAAAATTTCAATCTATAAGAATATTACTATTTAGAATATATTCAGTTAAAGCAATTATTTTTATTGTAAAATATAAATGGTAAAAAAAATTGTTTTTTAACATTTGCTAAGCTAAGAATAATACAATTGTATTACATATTTTTAAATGATTCTTATGTTGACATGTTATTTTGTGTAATCGTCTTTTATTTTAAATATAATTTATTACATGCTTGTATATTATAATTTGTATTATTTTTTTCAGCAGTTACATTAGTTTATTATATGCAATTATTGTATTATCCTATGCATATATATTGTAAATATTTTATAATAATTGATATTGTACTAAATCAATATATAAATTATATATTAAAAATTTTGATCTGATGTCAGCTATATGACATAGTTTATTTGTTTGGATAGTTAATTTAACAGTATTATGTTATAAATACTTCCGTGTTCATATTGTAAGCACTGTAGAAACATAGTATTCAGCAGCACAAATGGGTCTCTATAAATCCAAGAGTTTTTCATTTGTATATTTTGGTAGATTCTATGAGCAAACAAGATAGAATAATTATTTTATTTTTGCTAACTTTTATTCAACGAAAATTACATGAATTGGGTGTAATTACATGTTGATCATTGACCACTGTTCTATGATTCATATTACACAAGCTCTTTTTCAACTATTCAACAGCAATTTTTTTTTTTAAAACAAATTGTTTAATTATTGAAATATTTATTTACTTATTAAAAATGAAAACATTTTACATTGATGTTGTATTATAAAATGTATGAATATTATAAGATAATAAAGTTACAATCAAAATGTATTACAAGCATTAAATCGATGAAGTATTTACCTATTATTATTATTTATTAGACATTGCTAAAATACAATTTTAATATATTAAAAACTATACACTAAGTAAGACAAGTGTACTAATATTAATTATTAAACAATTATGAACATCTAATACTTATGTTTTAAGTTTATATTAATTACTTATCAAATTTTAAAGCAGTAAAACACATTTAATTAACACTACAGATAATATAAGGTTTTTAAAATCTAAGATATAAAATTATGATTACAAACATTACATTTTTTTTATAATTTAAAACTTAATTAATACAATAATTAATAGACAATAAATGCTACAATATTTGTGCATAATTCTAAATTTTGTTTTCATGTTACGCATAATCAAGACATTTCAAAAAAAAATTGAAATTTCTTCTTAAAAATTAAAAACTACACTAATGATTAAACACTTAAAATTTTTAAATGTTGTAAACATTAATTGAATAAATATAAATTGAATCATTTTAAATACTATTTATCAAAATAAAATTTAAAAATAGCTACATTCTACTCAATAGAATTATAAATAAATCATAAGGCTTGATATAATTATGTGCTCTTATATTCCATTTTTTAAGCTTCTTCCGTGTTCAATATTACAACCAACTATACTCGCTTTTCCCACTCAAATAATTATTTTGCAAACAATGTAAACATGTCTTTTTTAATTCATATTTTAATTTAAATTTCTAATTTTAAATCTAACTTTTTATTTACTACATTTTAATTTAGTTTTGTACTTTTTATCTTGAGAATATGTCAGTTAGGAGTAAATTATAAAATAAACAAATAATTATTATTTGACATATTTTTTAATTGTGTTTAAAAGCAAAAATTTTAGAAAATAAAAAAAAATAAATTTAAATTTTTTTAAATTTTTTTAAATTTTTTTTTTTTAATATTTTTTTTAAATATTATAATTTCTGATTATAGCAAAACTAATTATTTTATTATTTATCATAATAATAATTTGTAAAATTATATATTTTTTTTTTATGATTTATTAATACTAATTGATTAAAGAGAAAAAAACAATATTGTTATACAACTATTTTTTATGTAATTTTAATAAAACCAAATATTTTTGTTATTAATACATTTATTAAAATTATATTTCAATTAAAAATTTAGAAGTTAAGGTAATAATATTTAAGTACCTATTGATCAAAATAAATTAAACAACCTATATTAATAATAGTTAAATAATTTAAAATTAAAACTATTTATATATGTCTTATGTACTTTATTTATTTTACTAAAGTATATAATAAATATTATATAAGTTGAGGTGAATGTCAACATCTACTATAAATATTCAGATTTTCTCAAAAAATAACATTTATTGGTAAACGTCATTTATCAATATCTATAAATTATTTTGAGTATTTCTAATCTATGACAAAGACAGGTCTAGGTATATTATTTTTTCTATGTCAGCACGATATAATTCAGTTAACTTTATAAAAGTACCAGTTAAACAGAAGATATAAAAAATGTATATTGAAATAAGTATAAATAAAATATAAGAAAACAATTCCTGTTTTTTGAAAGAAGAAAAATACAATAAATATGTGAAGTTAAAAGTTAAAGTTTAAAGGCAAAGAAACCAAATAGAAAGCTGTACATAATTTATATGATATCATAGAATGTCATACACATCAAACTCATTGTCTCATGAGTCTAAAACCATCTATTTCATGAAAAATTATGAGGTATATAACATTTTATACGATATTCATGTTAAACTAAGCCACAGAGGACTGCTAATGAATTGCAAAAGAAATATAATCAATGATCAACAAGGTTTCCTGAGGTATTATTATAGCAAAGAAGCTAAATGTATACAAAAAGTGTAGTTACAAAAATGCTGGATTACTTTGAAACTACCTAATGAAACTTAAAATGCCATGACAGCTTTTAGTATTACAACAAATAATATTAAAGTATATAAAATACTTATAATTGATTCTGTTTGTATTTAAATATAAAAAATATTACTGAACACTGGTATATTTTATCTATTGCAATGCCAGTACACACCAAAAACTAATGGTAAATATTAACATTCACTAGTGGAAATGGCTATCTGTAGAAATGTTAACATACATCAACATTTTTTAGTAGAGATATTGACATTCACCTCAACATACATTAAAGGTATATCTAATAAGTAATTTTATATTAAATATAAAGTATTATGAATAGTGTTCCTCTCATGTGATAATTGAAAATGAAAAAAAAAATTTGTCATTATCTATTTGATACTAACAAAATTATTTCAGCCCATACTGAGATTATAATTAAATATTGGTATATTTAGGATAAAATATAAATATTAAGATTAATTTTATATAATAATTAATCAAAAATTAAAATACCGATACAATCAGGATTGTGTTTTCAATGCTATTTAAGAACTCGATTCCGATGTTTTAGTCTTGAGCTCTTCCAGTTCTGGTATCCATTTGGCGATTATTTTATCCAACAAATTTAGAAGGTGTCTGGCATAACCATAAAACTCATGAGGCTCCTAAAAAATATATTGATTCTATATTAGAAATATTAATATATTGACATTAAACAATATATATATATTATATAATATATAATATTTTATATATATTTTAATAAAAATATAATATTTTTATCCTCATCAATCGTTATCATACTTAAATAAAAATGTTTAAATTTGTTTTATTGTATAATTTTATAATGTTAAAGAATTGTTTTTATTGACGGGGGCCCACACCATGTATTGGCCCCTGGGCCCCTGAAGCTCTTGATCCGGGCTTGTGTGTATTGTAAAGAAAACAGTTTTTGATAATATTAAATTTAACATGTTGAGCTCTGCTGAAATTGTCAGCGTACAGCTCGCATCGCTACGTTAAAAATATGTAAGGTCAACACTATCGACTACACCATTATAATATATCAAATAACAAAAGTATACTTTTCTCATCAATGATCGACGTAATTTTGGGAAAAAAATAAATACTCACACCATTGTCTATTATATTTAATAATTAAAGTAATTTGGAGAGAATGTTATAACTTGTTTACCTATTAAGGGGCCACACATTTTTAGTGTCTAAAGACACAAAAAAAATAAATCCACCTTTGATTAGTAAGAGTATATAATTTAATTTTTTATACTTACATCATAAAACATCAAACTATCTGTAAACAATTTTTTTAAATCATCAATAACTTGATCGATTGTTGTATAATGTGTATTCGATTCTAAACGATTGATGATAATAATCAAATTTATTGGATTGGAAACCTTTTCGAAAAATGTTGGAAACTATATTAGAATAAAAATACACTTATTATTAAAAATTATTGTACAAAACAAAAATTAATATCTATGTACGTATATAGTTTAACTTACAGTTTTATTACTAGGAAATTCTCTAAAATGAATACTACCATATTCATTGGACAGGGTCATTATTAAACGCTCAGCAACTATACGTCCAGGTTCACCAATTGAAACACCAAGAGTGGTTGACTTCATAAGTCTCAAAGCATCGACTAATTCGCGAAATTTGCACATTGTACATGACCAATAAGGACTATGTATTTCAGGAAATTTATTAACACAAATAGATATTAATATATTAAAATTTAAAATAATATTTCACAGTACAATACATGTATTACATAATATAAAATATATTTTATATATAAATTAATACAATTTAAGTTTAATTACTTGTTAAAAACAATATCAGGAATCTTAGGCAAATGGCAATGATTATGATATTTCCTATCACAACTTTGACATTGCATTAATTCACGACCATGTACTACATCAAGACAGATTGAACATTGTTCGCCAAAATCGTCATGTTCATCACTATCCTCAATATCTAAGACAAAAATAGTAAAAATAACAATTAAGTATTATCATCAATAACTTATTAAATATCATATAAAAAAATTTCAGTACGTAGACAATTTTTTTATTAATGAGGTAAGTTTTATCATAATATAAGATGTACAAAAATAATTAAAATAATATTTGTGTTACCCAAATAGAATGATATACTCATATTGATAGTATTAACTTCTTCTTGTGTGGATTGAGATGGAAATTTGAACTTTGGATGAATAGTCTGTGTCTAAAAACAATTCAACGTGAATATTTTTTGTAATCGTGTATAAAGAAACACTTTCATTAATAAAGAAAATTGAATGCAAAATTGTATTAATTACTTATTATTAGGGCTGTGAATTTAATGAACTAAAAAACCTTAAAAAAAATGCATTAAAAATACCAAAAAAATGCAATAAAATATGCACTTAAAATGCAAAAAAAAGGAATATAAAATGCCAAAAATTATAGTATAAAATTCATTTAAAAAGGTTTTTAATTTAATTTTTATATTTATATTAATATTAGGTACAGGATATTAAATATTAGTACAAAAAAGTGTTTATATAATAAAAAAGTTAAAAAATTGACATAATGTATACAGCCTGTGTAAAATAAAAAAGTTTTCAAACAAGTTAATTGACAGAGTTTGGTTAAAACTACTAGAAAATGAACTAAAAAAACAAAATATAACCTAAAAATGCGAAAAAATGACCTAAAAAATTAAAAACGTCAAAAAATGCAAAAATATGCAAAATAAAAGTTTCAAAGATGAATTCGTAATTATATGATTCAAATTATGTACTTACAAAGCTATGTTTTACAATCACCAAAAAAAAAATGCACTTTCCTTTAAATTCACAGCCCTACTTATTATTTTAGAATTGTCTGTAATTACTAATTTTATTTAACACCGCGTTGGTTTCGGTTTCTCTCTGACCTAATGTTTGATTTATCGTGAAATCATAAAAGACCGCGAGACAAAATAAACGTAGAAAACTAAGCGTATAACAAAAACACTAAAAACAGCAAAATCTGAGACGTCTAATACTAAATACAGTGCTTGGCGGATGGTATTGTGGCGGAGAGTGAGTATATGCGCGATATCGTTCAAAACTGTTATACTACAGACATACCTGTCTATTTCTTTTGTCACGACGATCCGTTTTTATTCGTTTTTAGTCAAAGAGCATATAAATTATTAAGTAGGTATTGTGCATTTGCGCGTCAGAATGAGAATCGCTTTTGTCGTGTTGGTTCGCCATTCGCCAAATGTTCACCCCTCTACCGGTGACTGTTACTACAAGGGCTAACAAAGGCATAGCGTCGTAACGTTAGTTTCCATGACTTTGGGTGTGTCGTATATAAATTATTAAGTAGGTATTGCGGGTAGGAATGAGAATCGCTTTTGTCGTGTTGGCCCGGGCGCCCGGCCAGATGTTCACCCCTCCACCAGGGACAATTACTACAAGGCAAACAGAGGCATAGCGTCGTAACGTTAGTTTCCATGATTTTTGGGTGTGTCATTTTTTTTGAAAATAACTATATTGTTCCATGCTATTGCCAAACCACGTTTCTAATTCTATCGTGTTTTAAGTTACGGTCATCAATATTCCCGGCATTTGTTAACTGTATTGCCTATCCGAGCCGTTCAAAGGCAATTTCCAAAGAACAGTGGTTTTTTTACTTCGTGAAAGTATATACTTGTTGCCTGTTTTTAATTTTTCGAGGCGTAAGGATATAATATCTGTTTATACTTTAATATGTCTAATTCATATTTTTCTTATCACCGCTACTAATTATCGTTTAAATAACATTAGCATTTTCGTCTAATTTAAAGTAATTTACCCAAGTATTATTATATACAATTATTACTATTTTAAAATATTTTTTGAATTAAATACTTTTAAGACAATGTTATCACTTGAAATAATTATAATTTTTATTGCAAATAATCCTAAAAATAGCTAAAAAAGTGTTCCACGACATGGGCGTAGCTAGGATTTTAATCAAGAAGGGGGCACTTGATAATCTTTTTTTTCCTTTTTCTACATTTTATAGTAAAATCTAGACGTTTGATATAAGAAATAGAATTTAGTTTGAAGCGCAGAGGGAAGGAAGTTTCCCACCTCGCTACACCCATGTTCCACGATAAAAGTGAACATCAAAAAGGTGTCTACGGATAAAAATGTTTAAGAAATGCTTCCATAGATCATGTATGGTCCTCAACTTTAGAATAATTTTGTAGTGTTTTTAATTTACAACTAGTTTAATGAGCCACTAGTGATTCTAGCTTTGAGTATAATAGATCTATCACAGACATATTTTGTTTTATAATAGACCAGTATAGGTTAATTCATTGTCAAAAAAAAAAAATAATATTTTAAATAATACTGTTTCCTTTATTTAATCTTTTTTCAGAAACAGTTCCTCCTAAGTTTTTCGGTTACCCGACACTCTAATCTCAAGAAAACTATCACCATGCACTGTCTAAAAATTTTCCATTTGTCCTTTTCTTACGCCAATTTGTCATTCTGAATACAATTTTCAAGATTTTAAAAGAACCAATTATTAATTACTTATTATTCATGGACTTGGGATCTATTAACTGGGAGATACTTTATCGTAGATAAAAGAATTAGTCAAGGTCCTATTAAAAATAATTTTAGAAATTATCTCACAGCGAATGCCATTATACGAATATTCTAAAATTAAATTTTCATCACCGAGTTCAAAGAACTTAAAGAACCTTTTATTCAAGAAGAAACGGACCGATAAAATGTATAAAACGTTCCATGGCATTAATTAATGTAATTATTTCTTATTTTTGTGTTTGTTTTAAATTTAAATATAAATGCCTATACAGACTTTATTTACATTATATTCAAAAGCAATTTATTTAACAAACCAAAATAATTTTGGGATCACATTTGTAATCTTCAAGGGGATCTACAACTCCTGAACAAGTTTATCTTGATGAAATAAAATATTTTGATGAACAAGTTTTAAATCTGTTTGCCACATCTCTTCCGTCTACGTAAACAAAGTATGAATTCAATTAAAGTCATATAGGTACTACTATGAATTCTCATTTAACCATACTCCATTTCAATTTAATCAGAAGAAGTCTTTGCAGTCCATTACTCGATAATATTCTCTCGTGGTTAATTTTCTAATTTTTAATTCTCATCTGCGGATTTACAAATGTTGTATTTATGTTATTTGTTTTTGATAAACTGAAAATTGGCAATGTAATTATATTTTCAAGTTCTTTAATAGCTAAAAAATAATTTCTGAGTTAGTTAATTTCGTTTTGATTTTATTAGTAAACACATCAAATTACTCGAAACGCAATTGTTCATAGTTTCATCAAAATTATTTTTCAAATCAATTTCTAACCTTGACGTCACTTTTGATATACTTATTGTATTATTGTTAATATTTTTTAGTTTATTCAATACAACCCTAAAACAAAAGTTTTATTATATCGACAAATATATTATATATTATACATAATAAAAGTATTTAACTAAAATACGAAAAATCTTGAAAAATTTATAATATCAGATAGATTGTTGTAACTCAAAACTGATTTTGTAATTTCAATATAATATTTATTTTTATTTTGTAAATTCTTAAATGTTTCTTTATTTTTATAAGTTTCACCAATTGTGTCTAAAAACAGTAGAAATATTGTCAATCAAATATTTTAGCTCAAATGCGCGTTTATTTATTTATTTGTGTAACCTGGAACGCGCCAACAGAAAAAAAAGTGTTAATATTTAAATATTCTAATGTTCATGATTAATTAAAATTAAAATTAGTATATTAAACATTACATTTTTATTTCTTTATTAATTTCTGCATGAATAACCTTTTTTTTTAATTTTAAAATTTTCAATTTGCTTTTCTGTTTCTTCTAAAGAAAATTCTAGATTTTTGTTATTTAATCTGAAAATACATTATAATTAATTTTTATAATGTAAACATCTAGTTAGAATCATTTTTTTTATTATTAAAATTAATTGTAAGATTAACCAAAGACCACAAAAAATTATTCATGGTCCGCCATTTTTCACTTTTAATTTCAAATTATTTAATATTTATATTATAATAATATAAGTAATTAAATAAGAAGGTATAAAGACTATAAAGTACAATATCATAAACTTGTATATCATGCTAGAATAAAATAATTGAATTTATATATATTATATCGACATAATCTGGAAAA